CCTAAAATAAAATCAGATTTAATGAAAAAAACATTTATAATATCAATATAATAAAAGATATCATCATCATCTTTACCATCATATCTCTTTAAAAATATTAAATTCTTCCATAATTCATTATTCCATCCAATAAGATCTTCTAAAAATACAGCTCGTCCAGAAATTTTACTTAAAAAAAATTCTGCAAATTGAGAATCTAATAAAATTTTTTCTTTCATTGCTCTTGCAATCATTCGACCCAAAAATGTATATAATGGTAATTTTGAAGTTGTACAATGTGGATTAGGATATAAAGAACCATCAGGAGTTACTGCAAAGAGACCACAATCTGGATCAAAAGCTGGATTTTATAATTTATATAATTTATTAAAAATACTTTATCACGTTTAATTTTTAATCTTTTAAAAAGTTAACTAACCTTCAGATATAAGTTGAGTAATAAATTCTTTAAACGGACCCCCTTGATCCACGCCAACTTCGTCAATACCTATAAGAATGATGAAATAATATGTTTAAGATTCATAACAATTATATGTTTTTAATGTGCATATAATTATCCTCCCATAAAAGAACATAAGATCAGATGACATTTATTAATATGAGTATAAAACTTTTTGTTATTAAATTATGTTCTTATATGAAAGTTATGATCTTCAATATACATTACCAGTTTCATTTACAAACATAACTCGAATTTGACCTTTAATCTGCGTTGTAGTTAATCCACCTAATTGTTTATACCCATCCTCCAACACATGATCACGTCTAATTTTAATTACAACGTCTGACCAACCAATACTGAAAGGATCATTTTTTTGTAAGAATTCACGAAATATATCGAGTCTTGTTTCAAAAGGAATAGTATGAGGTAATAAATTAAGAATTTTTAGGGAAATAGGATCATTATTACGAATACGTTCTAAAAATGATGTTCCCATTAAATTATTTGAATTAATTGCAGTAGATTTTTTAAGAAAATTTGCTAATGATAATGGTAAAGATTTTTTAGGATCTTTAATAAGAAGCCATATATTATCAGGACCTGTAAATGTGCGTCTAGTATCACGTAAATGTAATTGAAGAAGTACCCTTCGTGCAGATTCAAATATTACAGGAGGATTACCATCTGGTGGTGAATTACTAAGAAGGGCAAAACAAAATTTATTAAAGAATATTGTCATAGGTTTTAAATCTCGTTCAATTGAAAAGGGAGTTTGCATTTCATATAACTCTTCATCATCTATGGTTCTTGAGCACCAAAAATTTCACTTGTTAGTAAATTTTTTAAAGTTTAAATTTTTTGCATAGTAAAAAAAAAAAAAAAACTTATACTAACAATAACAATATACCACAAGATTCGCAAAAAAACCCTAAAATCCCGAATAGTGGTTCCTTTTCGGGTTCTTTAACTACAGACTCCGTCAAGAAAATTTTCATTCGCCCTTTAGGGCCTAAACACGTCATAAATTGCCATAAGGAAGGTACAAGACGTGGAAGGTATGTCAAATTCATCATTATATCATGTTTTTGCATGATAAGTAATTTGAAGAGTAAGAGATAAAGTTGACAAACTTCTTGAGTATCAATAGCCAAAAGTGTGGTTTGACCGTAAATTAAACTTGACTTTTTGTCAATTAAATTTTTTTTCTGAGAAGGCAATTTAAAAGAGTCAAGATCATTGTTAACTTGAGGGTCAAGTTTAAAATTCAAGACGTGATTAAATGCTCTAAACAAGAATGATCTCTGCCATAAATATTCAAGTTGTATTATTAGTCGATTGAAATGAGTTGTCGAAATGTTTGAATCAGTTGTCCCAGAGTACCAAGTAAATACAGGATGATATTGGTAATGTGCATTAGATTGTTTGGTAGAAACAAATTTTTGA